GAGAATAAAAACAGTTTGGAGTACAGCCCGAAGTTGTAAATTTTTTTGCAGTCTGCCTGTTGACCTCTTTTATGTCGTTTGATTTATGTGCTTGACTTTGCAAAGGAAAGAACCTGTGAGAAGCCTAAATCAGGTTTTATTTTTATGGAGAGTCACTCTAATAAATTCAAGCTTTTTTTCTGAAATATTATCTTGCGGACAGCTTTATTCGTGAGTAATGAGGTAAAGGGGGAGGAAACGACAAAACTGTGGCGCGTTTTGAGGGTGAAAATAAAGTGCATGGTTATAACACCAATTTAAAATTGCCAAATATATTGTTATCCTTCGTGATTATTTTCAGTTAATGGCCCTGTTGACATGCTCCCTTGCAATGAAATCCTTTCGTTGCGTCAGGACTTTCTACTGAAGTTAATTTGAGAATAGGTCCTTCCTTTTGAAATCGTTTCCCACATGTTTTCAAGCTCACTTACGAAAGATGTAGGTGCAGGATTATGTAATGATGAAAACAAATAAAGCATTTTTTGAGTTTGATTTTTTTAAAAGCCATCATTACTTTTGAAATATCCTTCNAGCGGCGACATTAATTTGGCACCCTGCCTCCTGCATGACATCATAGTGACGTCAAGCGTGGGCGTGCAATGACTAGTTGTTAATTAGACACGCGAAGTGTGTGGTTTGTAAATGGGTTTTGCGGTCATGTCGTATTAATCCACTTTGCACTTTGCGGCATCAACGAAAATTGAAAAAGAATTGGGTTAAAGAGACCGATGTTTTGCTATGACAGGTGAATTTTGTTGGCAATTAATGATCGTTTGCGATGCATAAAACGGTTAAAAACATTGTTTTTGTATAAAACAACTTCTTCGAGTTCCTCCTTTCTGGTTCGTTCGATAGATGCCTGCAGATTGTTGTATACTTAGTTTAGTAATTAAAAGCCCACAAAACAAAACGCATGTAGTACTAGTCGCGGGATACGTCAAGAGAATAAAAACAGTTTGGAGTACAGCCCGAAGTTGTAAATTTTTTTGCAGTCTGCCTGTTGACCTCTTTTATGTCGTTTGATTTATGTGCTTGACTTTGCAAAGGAAAGAACCTGTGAGAAGCCTAAATCAGGTTTTATTTTTATGGAGAGTCACTCTAATAAATTCAAGCTTTTTTTCTGAAATATTATCTTGCGGACAGCTTTATTCGTGAGTAATGAGGTAAAGGGGGAGGAAACGACAAAACTGTGGCGCGTTTTGAGGGTGAAAATAAAGTGCATGGTTATAACACCAATTTAAAATTGCCAAATATATTGTTATCCTTCGTGATTATTTTCAGTTAATGGCCCTGTTGACATGCTCCCTTGCAATGAAATCCTTTCGTTGCGTCAGGACTTTCTACTGAAGTTAATTTGAGAATAGGTCCTTCCTTTTGAAATCGTTTCCCACATGTTTTCAAGCTCACTTACGAAAGATGTAGGTGCAGGATTATGTAATGATGAAAACAAATAAAGCATTTTTTGAGTTTGATTTTTTTAAAAGCCATCATTACTTTTGAAATATCCTTCCACGCTTACTTGCGAAATGTGTAGCAGTAGGATTATTTGATTATTTAAACAACGGAAGTATTTTTTTTTGAACGAGTTATAAAACCATCGCCATCTTTACCCTTGTCAATTTTAAGAATGCGCTTGTCTGATGCACTTCCCCCAACAGGAAACGCTGTTGCTGACTTTTGAATCCACCTTGCGAACTTTCACCAGGCGCTACCTACCTTATAGGGCGCGGAAAGAGACTGAAAGCAAGCCTGCATGGTTACTAAGCCAGTATGAACCAGAGAGAAGTTCTACTCAAATTGCGACAGAATCTGTACATGCTGCGCGTTTTACCGACCCAACACAAACTTGATAACTTCTTTGCAGCAGGTGACTTACATCCCGTGCGTGTCTGTCGTGTGACTCCCGCGTAATTTTATCCAATCGGAAGTAGGTATTCACGCAACTTGCAGCAACCTGAGGTTTGAACATGGGTGGTAAAACGCGCAACGTCGCTATTAAACTCGTTTTGCAGTGATGTTGCCAAAGAAGTTGCACGTTCTTGCTGCCCGCTTTACTTTAGCTTCAATATGATTTGATCAGGAGCGTAGATTTGACCTAACCAAATGTGCATTTGTAGTGTCTTTACTCGTATTAAAAAGAGACGATTTGCCCAAATTTTTGGGCAGAACTGCCAAAGAATGTGATAAGGTTACTTCGGTTGATGTTCGTCTATCGTAAATAGCCTGGGTGGCAAGCGTCTCAGTGCGGTTTCGGAGCAAACGAGAGATAAGACCGCGCGAATCATTTTTTGGATCTCAGTCCATTTTACGCGCGGCCAAAACCGAAAATCTCGTTCCTCGTCGTTCGGCCCCTCGGTTTTTCTTTGTCCCGAAACCACACGGAAACTCTTCCGGCGCTGGCTATATCGTAAAAAGCGCCTCTTGCTTGTTGGATGTGCGTGTTATTCGCGCCACTGAAGGTATTTTTATATGAGAGGCTCGCATAACACGAAGACTGGTAAGTCTACAACAACAACACCAAGCAGGACGCAGGTGGTTCCGCGCGCGCTACGTGCAGTGGACTGGTCTTTTATGAGAAGCTATGACAGACGTGCCAAACACTCAAGCGGGAGTGTACAACAACATCAACGAGGGAAAGAGAAACCAAGGACTTACGTAGCCTCCATCGCAGACGGTCTTTTGGCTCGTCACGCAGTCTAGCCTGAGCATCAGGCCTTCCTAAGGGGCTAGGGGAGAGGAGATTTTAGACGGGGGAAAGGGGAAGAGGAGCTCTCTCCCATCTTTCCCCTTTTCCCCAGAAACGTCTGATGCTCAGACTACACGCAGTCCTCCTCGTGGGGTAAAGAAAGTCTGCGTGGGAGGCTAGGAGTTACGCAGGATGACCACGTTGAATATGCCCCGTAAAATAGACAAGGAACTACTGTAGGTCTTTTGCAGCGCATTAAAACTAGTCCTGCCTTCCGCTAAGTTCCAGGATTAAGTTTTTCAACTCTTTTATTTAACCCCTTTTCGACTAAGAGATTATGTAATTTGGCGAGACAGGGGTAACCACCACTCTTATGGCTAAATTACAAGTTCTCCACAATAAGGCTGCGCGACTAATTTGAGATCTTCACTCGCGCGAATCTGCAAGCGACGCACTTCAGGGATTTTTACAGCGCCTGTCATGTCGGTCTGCAAAATAAAGGCCCAACACGGCCATGTGAAAAAGTCGAGGAAACGTTCTAGTTTTGTGGTTAATTCATATTTTAAAGACAGGCTTTTACAGCAGTGAGCCAAAGAGATGAAAAGTTCTAAACTATGTATGTGAAAGGGGTATTATTTCGCATTTGTCAATGAAAGGTTTACGAAAGGCAAAGGCTACCTTTTCTGTTAAAGAAGTGCCGTATCCAGACCTTGAGGTAAGGGTGGGGCCAGTCTCCATAAAAAATTTTTTGGCTCTTCGGTCCTCAGTTTTGTCTAAAAATAAGCGGGGGGCGGCCCCCCCAAGTCCTCTCCCCTAGATCCGCCACTGTAAAGATAGTGTATAAATAGACAAGGGGTTAGACCTTGGGGCAGAGCCTCCCTGTGTGAGACTTTGTTGAGTACTCCCCACCCCCCAGGTTTTTAGGAGTTCGAGTGGGATGTTACCGTGCAAAAACGATGAACTTTTGGGGTTACACATATAACTCCAAAATCAGAACAACTTTCTTAAAAGTGTCTCTCAGTAATCAGTATTCTTTATTGTGTACCGCTGATTGCTACATAACGAGTAAAAACTGCCCTACATTTATGTATGTTTGTATGATTAATGCTGCTATTCTTTACTGAACAATTCAGTTCTTGATATTAGTGCCTGTACTTAGCTATAGTGGTAAATAAATATCACTCGATCAATAAATATCTTTTTTTGTGTAAGTTAGAGTTGTTAATAAGTTAGTTATATCTACCTGTAAATGTTACATATCTTATACAGAGGGATGGGCAATATTGGACAAGACTGCAGATATAAACTTCCCTGCCAAAGACTATACGGTTTAAAGAACCCTACTAAACCCTTGCCTACAATACATAAAATCATATTTTTTTGAGTATTGATTTAGATACCTACTTCTTCAGACTTGTCTTTGGTATTACTCTGGTTCATGAATTGTTGAAATCATTACCTATGCCTTACCACATTACTTTGCATTGTATTTCTCAATTTCCAGTTTTCTCGGGACTGGTTTTGCATAGCCCTTTGTCACCACAGCAGAACTTTCTGTGCTATAGAAAGTTCATTTGTATAAGCCATCAGCTGCTATGTTATAGCTGGCGTGCAAGTTGAGTGGCAAGCAAAGAAGCTCCAAGAGAATACAGGAGGTAGCAGAAAATCTGGGAGGGGCAAGGGAGTGGTTGCATCTCATCGCATGTGCTACTACGTTTCACCATAATGTCCCTCAAATCAAGAGTTTACTTGCTGCCTAGCCGTGTTGTAGGTTTTCTACAAGTATTCCTGGGCCATTTACATAACTAGTATAAAGTGCAAAATTGGGAGGCATGTAGGTTGATTGAAAAAGTGTGCAAAGGTAATTATTAAAATAGGTCTAGATTTAAGTTTACAGTCTACAGTTTGCAAATGTTGCCACTAGTCTCACAGTTCAAAGGTGCTAACTGGTTTACCATTCATTGTTAGAACTGGCCGGCTACACCAGTCTGCTCATAAAATAATTAACAGTATGCATGGCAGTGAAGATGGGTTTCAAAAACAAAAAACTCTGGAGGAAAGCATATGTTCACTCTCAAATAAGCAGGTCCAGGCTAGCCAGCTCTAACTTTTTAAGCACCTAAAGATTCCTTGAAATCAAACTTAAGGTAACCCATTAAACTCCAGAAATGATCAACATCACAATTCTTCTTCTGAAAACCTTCAAAATCTTTCACAGCCTTTTAACACAATCCTTAGTCTTCAATCCAATTCCAATCTTAAGGCAGTGTGCCCAGGTTGAGTGCGATTACAGGAGAACAGAAAAGGTATGACAATAAAATGCCACTAACAAATTGATAGTCTGCTAGAGCAGTAGTTTATAAATTGAACAACAACTGATGTTCTTCTTTAATTCCATTCACAAAAGGGCATTCGGATGAAGCCCCTTAAGCGCTCGAGATTAGTTTAGAATACTATGCCTCAAAGAAAACACATACAGCACTGTAATGTTATCTCACAGTAGTAACCATTTGATTTTTCATTTTTCAAAAAATCAAATTACCGTATATAATGAAAATTTTAGATGTTGATCACTGGGTTTAAAGGATTTAAGTAAAACTTTATGCAGAGAACTATTATTTACTGAGTAGAGGGGACTTGTCCGTTAATGACATGGATCGTAGCTGTTGGAGCCACTTGAAGACCAGCCGGGCTTGGGGGTTCATGCTTCTTCAAAAACTTTATGGATGGCACTTTTTTCTCTGCTTTTCCTTTAGGGCTCTCAAATACCAGCTAAGATGAAAAATTAGCACTATTAGTGACATGTATCTTCGTTTCTCTCATAGAAAAAGATAACTGATTAAAATGTAGCAACATGAATTTCCTGAACTTTCTTCACACAACTAATACTGATAAGATCCTTATAGCCTAAAGATAAGAAAGTATTGCACAGTTTTACACCCCTCCCTGTTTTAAAACCTCCAACCTGCGAATAGAGTCTTTCTTTGATTTCTTTAGTGGAGACAAAGGTATTTTTAACAAGAGGCGGCTTAGAAAAACGTAAGCTTAACGCCTTTCATTTGAATGATCACATTTACGAACTTCATTTAAACTTGAAAGCTTATGAGAAGTTAGAAAATAAAACGGTTTTTTTAAGGAAAACCTTTGTTAAATTGGAAAAACAAATACGTGCTCGACCTTGAACTACCTTGCTCACCTCTCCAGGGACCGCACCATCGGGCACATAATTTCCTTCAGGAATCGCCAAACTGACAATCTGCGCTGGCTGTGGATGTGAACTTGCAACTGCAATTTCTGTGGGAGGATTTTCAGCGGAAAACTGATGGTGGACTTTCGGTACAACTGCCGCCGCGTTTACAGGGACAGCTGCTACTTCGTTCCACGAATGTCCGTGAGAGAACGAATATGGCGTCGGTTGCAGATAAGAATTGCCAAGGACAGCCGTTGTTGTATAAATTGGCTGAGAAGCTGAATGGGAATGTTGAGGATATGGGCTCTGCGACTGATAATGCATCTGTGGAGAATACGCAGTTGGTACTAAGACGAAGTGCGGTTGCTGATTTACTGCATAGTACATGCTTCCATCCGATGCAGAGAACGCGTAGTAGCTGCCATGCCCAGCACCTTCGCCGGGTTCTTGTCTGTGGTAGTAATACTTTCCAAAACTCCTCTTGCTCTTTCTGCGGACTGCTTTACCAACGTTCAAGCTTTTCCCTCTGAATTCCAAGCCATCCTGGTCGCGAACTTGATCGGCTACTTCTTGTGATTCGAACGTGATGAATGCATATCCTTTGCTGAATCCGTTGCGGTCTCGCACGACCTTGCTTTCTTTCACCGTGCCAAAGTCTTGAAAATACTCTCTCAGCTCGCTTTCCGTCGTCTCCGGAGAAAATCCTTTCACAAAAATTCGCTTTCCAATATCTAAATCGCCCATAATTTTAACTGAATAAGTAGAACACAGTCAGAAAGAAACTTACAGTGAACTGAGTGAAGAAAATGATAAACAAAATTGTGAAGTGCGTCGGGGCGTTTACGTCGCTTTGCGAATTGGGAAATTAGGCCACGTGATTCATTTTAGGCGCGATTTTTGCTCGCTCTCGAAACAAACAAACAAACTTTCTCCAAGTCTTTCGAATGCGCTTATTTTTAGAAAACATTTAAAAAGAAAAAAAAAACCGCTCGCGCTTCGCGCCTTGGAAAAAAAACATTTTGAGCTCGACTTGTTGTCACGGTATAAATACGCCTAACTCCGTGTTTATTGTTTATTATTTATTGTTTTGTTTGCCATAAATTGTACAAATCAAATAAAATCTACTTATTTAAACTCTCATGGCGAGGAAGCCTAAGAGAAGCCACCGGGCTTATAAGGAATGGGCTCGCTAAGTTAGACAATTAGAACAAAATATTATCATAATTACACATGGGAAAATCAATGGCAGAGCTACAGTAAATCTTAAAATAAATATATTAGATAGTCGTACTAATCATAGTGTTTTATTGGTCAGAGACAAACGTTTCTTATTAGAGGACACCTCAAAGATGACGAAGTTTTTTTTTTATCACTTTACTTTTTTTCTTTTTTTTGATGAGAAATAATTACACGGTGACACGGTTATTTTTATTGAAGAAGGTTAAGCCCTTTCCGATTTTCCCGAACCTATTGCAAAATTTGCAAAATAACTTGTTTTTATAGACGACATTCGCTACCCACCAACCCGCCAAAATGAAATCTCGTTCCCGTAGTCACCCTCGTCATAAAAAAATGGTCTCTATGACGACAAATTGAAAGTTGAATATCTACTTTAAATTCGAGAAGGGATGTGTGTTCTAGACGTCAATCAAGTTGTAGAACAAACAAAAACATGAAAAACAACATGTAATTTTATTTCATGTATATGAAAAAAAAAAATAGTCACGGAAGTTCTCCCTTGTTTTTATTCTCATGATTCGTCAATCCATAGATCGCTAAAAATAAAACTCGGGTAACATTTACAAAAAAACATTAAAGAAACAGAAAAAATAGATGAATCGCTAAAGGGCAACTATTTAGCTTTAAATTTTCAATAAATGCAAATTTGTTTCGTGAAAAACGACTTTTCAAGGTTTTTTTCTTCCGTCATTTGCATTTTCACGATAAAATTCCCGTTTCATAGGAACCCATGCGTAAACGTCTACCGAGGGAGGAGGGGTTAGGGGAATTATTTGAAACCCCAGATTGAAGTTGTTTTCTCTTACAACACGTCTTTTTAGCTGTTATTAAATTGACAAAAGTTATTTTAGCCTATAAATGGGACCCATTTTAATATGTTTAACTTAAAAAGAAGTTTATAAAAAAAAGTTTATTATAGTTTTTGTTCCCTCCTATGGTTGGTATACCATTTGTTTTTAAAATTATGTGACGTAAGCATGTGCGTGCTCCTGATATGTACAAGAAGTCGGTTGCACTTTTATCAGTGTCACACTTCGATGTGAAAAATTCCTAGCGTTTAAATTGCGCCGATTTTTCGGCTGATATCTTCAGATTTTCACGACGGGACTTTAAAGGCGAAACAATCTTCTTTGCTTCTCTGAAGGATTGAAACTATTTCGCGGGAAAGGGAAATCGATTGGTAAACATTGGCATTGACAATCCGACGTGTTAAGATTTCTCATAACTTTTCGTTTCAAATGCAAGGCTGTTGTTNTGTTGTTTTTTTCTCTTGTTGTCTTCGTGAGCGCTGTTTATTTCACCATGCCAGTTTCAGCGGCCGAGAAAATCGACTGCACCAAGTTTAACAAATCATGCAGCGATTGCACAGGGCATTCGGAGTGTTACTGGTGTTCTTCTACAGGAAAATGTAACAATTATCCCGGCTGGACGAAGATTGTCCCTCGAGATTGTCCCAGCAAGAAGTGGTTTTACGGTCAATGTCGGCTTTCGGGGAGTGTTCTCATAATTTTAATTCCATGTCTTGTCGGCGTCTTCTTGTTGTTTCTCGGCTGCTGCATCTACTGTTGCTGCTGTCGCCGTTGCCAAAAGTGCAAGAAAAAGCGCCTGGACAAAGAGGATGCAAAACTAAAGCAAAAACGGGAAGAAATGCGGGCCATCCACTCTCAAAAGCGAAGCGAAAGGGAAGTAAAGAGAGATGAAATTCGCAAGAAGTATGGTCTTCGTCCTGGTGGTTCGTCTGGATATCAGCGAATAGAAGATTCCTAAATATCGTATTTTGGATATTTTTAATGTTGATATTACTGATAAAATGTTTTAATGTACTCCCAGATTTCTTTTCGATAAAAAGATGTTTTCCAACAGCGAAGAGAGGAACCTTAAGTACATTAAAAAGCTTAATATCTATTTTTTTTTCTTTTCGCAATCTGCATGGAATGATATTGGCTTAAGTGTAGACAGGACGTTATATTCGAACAATGATCTATTTTAATCCCTATTTTCACCAATTGCTAACCATTTATTGACGTTTACCTTATGAGAAATCATTAGTAAGCAATATAATTTTGGTGATTGTGTATTTCAATCGTCAAAATATTCTACGATCTGCATCGGTACCTCTAGTTCCTCTTTCTGGGTGAATGAAGGTCAATCGTGTTTTGTTTGCATTGTGTAAATTGTCATTGTATAATATAAACACGTCCTTGCTCCCTTGCTCTTGCACCGCAAAGAATTCGACCGTTTTCTTGCTTCGGATTATATTTCTGATATTTGAAGCAATACTTAAGCTTATAAGACTTTATTAGTTCAGGCTGGCAGTTAAAAAAAAAATAAATTAGTGGTGTAGTTGGTATATAAGCTTGTTTTTATAAAAGACCGGGGATAATAAAAGAATTGCCTTTCAAATGTTTTCATAATATTTTTTCTAGAAATAAACTGACATTTAGTTGGATCAACAGTAGTGACCTACATCTTATTTCTCCTCACAATGTAACAGTTCCAAATAAAACATAAAGGTCTGGAGAATAAAGGAATATATCACAAAATAATGTTCATTTATCTTATTTCTCCTTTTTATTTATTTCCCTAGACATTTCACCCGTTAGCAGTGTAGGAAATGTCCAGAGACGCTTGTTCGGGCCAAAAGACCAAACTGAGCCCCGCAGAGCCATAACTGTCATAGCACTTTAGAAAAC